TCCCACCGATATTCCCATTTGTCAAATTACTGGTTCTTTTTTTTTTTTTTTTTTTTTTTAAAACATTACAGACGTTACAAGAAAGACACCAATGTGAATAAAGTAATTCAGGAAAATTTGAGAGCTCTTGTACTTAAACCTGTGTTTTAAAGGCATGGAACCTACAAAATGAGTTCTTCATATTTTTCTTATCCTTACATTGTTTTGTAAAAACTCAGTTCTATGAGAATAAGGCTATAACTCCCCTTTGAAATCTTAACCTTGTATGAATGATGTATAGTATTCTGATGTGTCCCCCACCATTTTTGCCTCGATCTTTTCAATTTATGTTGAGACAGAACAGGCCAACAATATTTTATGATGTCTCTATATAAATATAATAAAAATAATGAATTAGCTCTAAAACTGTGACTTGAGATATAAATGAACAATTATGCTGTTAAATTTACATGAGATTGAGAAAGAGTCTCAATCTATTTTGATAAGAATGAAAGTATGTCAGAGGTTTTTGTACCTTTAGAGACAAAAGTTGGAGGAAATTCCGAACATCTCTTCTGAATTATTGAAGAAATAAGGAAGCTTGAACAGCTACTTTTATTTTTCTAAAATGGAGAAGTCAATTTAAATATAATTACCAGAGCAAAATTTTACTATTTATGACTTACCAGAATTACAGACTTTCACAAGTTAAAAGCATATACACATCTTCTAGAATCCAGTTACCTTGAAGAAACACCTTTGTCACACACAAATTAAGAAGCCATAGGGTATTGTTTAATGTGAAGTGCCTGAACAAGGGTTTTTGCCTTTTCTAACTTGTAAATTGGGTTGTTGCCTTTTTCTTATTGATTTGTAGGACTTAAAAATTCTGCCTAGGAGTTTTTAGCTATATGAGTTGCAAATAACTTTTTCTTTCAGTATGTGGCCTGAATATTAGCTTTCTTAATTATGTCTTTGAATGAACATATATGTTCTAAATGTTAACGAAGTTCAATTTCTAAGTTTTCCTTTCATGGTTAGTACAGTAAAAACAGAGGATAAACAGTGACCATATAAGGTCTCCAAGACCTGAAATATTTATTGTCTGGCCTTTTTGATATAAATAAATAAATAAATAAAGGTGACTCCTGTACT